AAGAAAATGCCCTACCGGCTTGCTTACAGCCTGATTTTTATGGTGACATTCTCTTAATTGACATTCACTCCTCTCCGATGACTTGAGCTTGTGTCAAATTGACATGAAACTGGAGTACAAGACTGAGATAACTCATGTGAAAATCTCCAAGCACAGCGTATAGTGGGTACTTGGAAAATGTACAGACAAACAAACAAAAGCATGGGAAGGGTTAGTGGAAACCCTCCCATAGGAAGTAGCAACAAATGAAAGTAGTTGTCACCTGTCTTTGACATCCAGCCCAGACCCCACAGTATATACCCACAGGCTTGTGTGATCATCCTGTGTGTGAAATGATCATGGGAATGAGAGGGGTTCAGATCTTACGGTGTACATGTACAGTCATCTGTGATAATCCTGTGGGGGATGTGTGTGTGTGTGTGTGTGTGTGTGTGTGTGTGTGTGTGTGTGTGAAAGAAAGAGAGACAGAAAGACAGACAGACAGACAGAATATTGTGGGAATGTGAAGAGATTTCAACAACTCTTGTTCTCTGGACTCTTAATATTTGCTGGGTATTCACCTAAGTGTTTATTTGTGAATTACATTTATTTATTTATTTAATAGAGTGTGATGGGAAGGGGCATGCATGTGCCACGGTGCATTTGCGAGGTCAGAGCTCAGTTTATGGGGGTTGGCTTTCTCCTTCCCCCATGGGGGTTCCAGGGATTGCATTTGGGCTGCCAGGCTTCATCCACTGAGTCATCTTGCCAGCGCCCTAACATTTCCATCTTTGCAACAACTCTGAGGTGGATGCCATCATCTCAAGACAAGGGAGAGGGTCATTTGCTTATGGTACTGGTGGAGTAATAGGAGTTGGTAAATCTCAGATTTAAACTTAGGTTATGGTGTTCTTAACACCATAACCCTGTATACCACCCACCATGAACTACAATAAAGGATGGGGATGAGGGTGACTCTGTGTGGTGTGTGTGTTGAAAAGTGCTCAAGTGTCACAGGATGGTGCCACGAGGCCCAAGGAAACCCTGACAGTAGTGAAAGCAAGGCTTCTCTGGCACTTGCTATGCCCTGACGATGCCTTTGTCAATTCACTTGACCCTGGCAGCCTGTGAGGTCTAGCCTGTCACTATCCCCGACTGAATGGGGGCCTGACCCAGGGACAGAGGTGGGCAGAGCCACCAGTTAACACCTGTGGGCAAGCCCCTGTGCTCTGGATCCATGTGTCCTAGCTCCACCAACCTGCTTCTCAGCAGCAGTATTCCCAGCATGCCAGGAGGTTGGAAGATGCTAGGAACAAGATTGGATTGGGAGGGCAATGAGGCGGTGCTGAGAGATCAGAAGTTCAGGTTTCTCGGTAGGGCTGGGGAGTGGGAGTGCTGCCCCTCCCCTTGACATGAGGCTGCTCCCATCGAGTCTGCCTTGGGGTCCCTGCTCATGGGCACGTGAACACGCTGTGGTAAGAAAAACTTGACCACAAACCTCCTGTAAAGCTGCGGGAGTCAGGGAGGGAGTCAGGGATGGCAGGGTCCTAGCCTGGTCCCTCCAGAGCTCAGCTATGTGGCATCTGGGGGAAAAAAGCAGGAACCTGTTACTCTAGGGGCAGTTCCCGTGTGAGTTCCAGGCTTCTTGAGGGGGTGGGCTGTTTACCACTGGTTCTCTTGGGACCCTGGGGTTGGAGTTAGGCTGCCATAGTATCTTAACTTCACTAACCTTCAGGTGACTCGCCTCTCTCCAGGTGTTCAAACAGTGGCCCAAATGCCAGATCTAGTAATCTCAGCTCTGAGTGTTTGTCATCAATATTTCAGGATTCAAACATCTGTCTAAATAACTCCTATGAAATATGAGCGGATTGAGGTTTTTAAAAGTGGTTGGCATAGAAGGGCAATGAGGAAGAGAGAGGATAGTGCGGTCTAGAGAGAACATAGGGACCCCACATCCCTGGAAGTGGATCTGGGGCTCGCGAGAGGCTGCTCGGCATGTGCGGTTTGGTGGCAGTGTTCTAAATCCAGGGCTAAGCTGAGGGTTATGGCTACAGCATTTGGGGTGGTGCTTGACAAGCAGTCCTGGGGTCTCTAGGACCCTGGAAGGGACCAGGTAAGAAGGCTGTACAGTGTATAGTTTGCTCAGAATATCCAATGGCCATTCCTGCTGAACAGGGGTTGCAAGGGTTTAGGCAAATGTCACGGGTGTCTGGGACCCAAGAGACGCAAAGACAGGAAGCCGGCTGAGACCTTGCTCTGCTCTTCCCTCTTTCCAGGTGTCCCCTCCCCCTGCAGGGTGCTCAGGGTATGGAAACTGTGGCCCTGACCTGTCCCCAGCTCTCAGTGAGTCTCCCAGGGCCAGCTGGCAGCACTCCGAGCTGGACCTTACATTCTTGTGCCTTAGCCAGGATAGGGGAGCTGGTGTAAAACAGGAGGTCACCTCACAGTCTGAGTGTACTCACCTCCCCACACCTTCAATGGCCCCCAGGAAACTCATTCCGGAATTCTTTCCTGGCTGACCGACAGGCCACGTATGTCTGAGATAATGGGTCCTCAAACCTCAGTTTCTCCCTGCATGTAATGAAGGGGCTGGATATAATTTTCTCTTTTCTCTGAGGTTTCTTCCATCCCCAACACTCCACAGGTTTAGAATTCATGGAAGGCCCCACCACCTTGGCAGAGACCCCAGGGTCAAAATTTGTGCTTTCTGCACTCAGGAAGCAAACAGCTGGAGTTATCCTTGCTGGGCTGAGCTGAAAGTCTGGGACTTACACCGGCCCAACTGTGCATCTCACAGGGTCCTTAGCCTATAGGGATGGTGGAGTGAGAGCAGCAAGGCCCACACTGGGAGCTGGCAGAGCCCAATGGGCTGGCATGAGATGGGGAACAAAAGACGGGCACCTGCTTTCCTGTGTGTTCCAGGGACATGGGCTCATTTGAACCTGTTTAGAATGTTCTTGGTATAGCGGTGACTGGCTAGGGTCTTGGTAGTGCCCAGTGAGCGGGTCACTGTGGTTCTAAGTGGAGTTGGTTCCCAGATCCAGGTCTAGCCCGGTTCCCTAGTCAGGGAGCTGGGGAAGCTATCCCTGGGGCTCTCCAGTACTGGGGCTGTGCAGGTCCTTAGCACAAGCCAGGACCTTCCTCACAAGCTGCCTGTGTAGCTTGTGTAGGGACAGGCTGATAGGAGATCTCTAACCTGGGGCCATCTGAAGTGGTTCTCCCAGGGTCTTCTCTGTCTGGGGACCTAGACAGAACTAGGGCGGTAACTACAGGAGCAGTAGCTCCAAGGCCAGCATTAGGGGAGGGCTACAAGACCCTACACCAACCATCCCATGATCACACCAGTCAGCATTTAGACCAGGCAGTGGGGTCAGTGGCAGCCCCTCTGGACTCAGTCTAGGAGGCTACCTGCTCCTCAGCCCAGGCCAGAAGCAGACAGCAAGATGAATTCTCACTGCTTTCAGAGTGAGAGCCCTTTATCTCAAGCCCACCCGGGAGATTGACAGGGTTGATGATAGCTGCTGATTTTCCGAGCTGGCAAAATTAGTGGGGGTAGCATGTGGGGGTTTCTGTAATGCTTGGCTGATGGATTAGGTGGTGGGGCAGGTCTCTTGGGGAGCAAAGAGTGACCTTGGAAAATGTGGATTCTATCGAAAGGCGAGAGCAATAAGCTCTCTTCCTCACACTGGCTGTCAATAAGACTCCTCAGTGCCGGTGCAGTGGATGGAAACTTTGCTCATTGCCTAGCCTGGCGGCTCCGGGGCTGTAGCATTTGACTGCGTGATAAGAAATTGCCAGGCACTTTCTAATTACAATTATCATCATCGTGGATGTCTCTCTTAATTACTTTCTTATAATTAGCTGTTGCTTTTTCCCCTCAGCATTTGTATACTTTGCAGATTTGCTGACATTTGAGAACCCCAAAATAGGGATGTTTGAGGAGGGGGGCAGGAAGGTGGGGGCACAGTGTCTGCTCCTACCAGGCAGCCTGCTACATGAGGGACTTCCGTGAGGAGAACCTGGGGCCAGCAAAAGATGGAGAGGGGTGGGTTTGCTGAGCAGATGTGGCCAGAGTTTGGGAGTGTGGTGGTGTGGTGGAGGTCTCTGGTTTGTACATGAGCTCCACAAATCAAACTCTGGAGTTTTTATATTTATTTTACTTTTACTCATGTGTGCATGTGTCTGTGTGAGCATATGCCCCATGTATGTGAATGCCAGCAGAGAGCAGAGGGCAGTGGATCCCCTGGAACTTGAGTTACAAAGTTAATTGTGAGTGGCCAGATGTGGGTCCTAGGAACTGAACTCAAGCCCTCTGGAAGAGCAGCAAGTGCTCTTAACTACGGAGCCATCTCTCTAGCCACCACCTCTCCACCATCCCACCTCAACTTTTCCTTGTTCTTTCTTCTCTGTCTCTGTATCTCTTTCTATCTGTCTCCCTGTCTCTGTCTCTGACTCCCTGCCTCTGAGACAGGGTTTTTCTATGTAACCTAGACTGGCCTTAAATTCGCTGATCCTCCAGCTTCACACTCCTGAGCCCTGGGCTCATAGTCGTGTATTACCACATCAGCCTGAAAGATTGTCTTTTTTAAAGATAGGTTCTCATGTAATCCAGGCTAGCCTCCAATTTACAATGTAACTGAGGATAAAGCTAAGTTCTTGTTCTTCCTTCCTCTACCTCCGGAGTGCCCGGATTAGGTGTGTGGTACCATACATGGTTATGAGGTGCTGGGGATTCTCTGTCTACTGAGCTGCATCTCTAGTGTCTGAAGGAGCTATTACCAAGGCTGCCCTGTCTCAGGCTGGGGTTTTGTTTTAAGAAGTGAGACTGGGGTAGACACCATGCCCTCTTGTCAGTCACATTTCAAGTTGAACAACTCAAGTCCTAAGTTTGATGTTTATCTCCCAAACCAAAGATGCATTTGGAGCATCCTTGGTACTAGGGACCCATGACGAAGTGGCTTCTGCTTTGTGCCCAGATGGCTGGTCTCACTGTCTGCTTTTCCTCTCTCCCATGCCTTCAGCCCTGTGCACCGAGGAGTGCATGCATGGCCGTTGCGTCTCTCCAGACACCTGCCATTGTGAACCTGGATGGGGAGGCCCTGACTGCTCCAGCGGTGAGTCTGGGGTCTTTGGGGACCAGGGGTCCGCAGTTCTGACATAGGAAGGGGTGGTGGCATGTGCAAGTTCATTCATGTGTTCGGTGGAGATGACTTTGGATGCCAGGAAGATGCCAGATACAGTTAATGTGTGACAGCATTTTTGGGGTCAAGGCTCTAGGGGGGTGGGGAGATGGTTCGTGGGGTCTTGAGGGTTATAAATGTGGAGAGCTGTATGGTCATTTGTACACTTCTTTTGATGACCCACCTCTATATATGATCTTTGAGGGTTGGGATGATCTTGAGATGATGTGTGTACCTGTTTACATACCAAGGTGGTTATTAGGCCTGGTCCTTGGCTTGGTTGGTTCAGAGACTCAGTTTCATGAGTGCCCATGGGTGCACAGGGGCTATTGTGTGAGGTTGGTGGCTACCAGGACATCTCTGTGTCCCCAGTAGGACACAGGGATACCCCTAGGGGCAGGACACTGTTCCTATATCTCCTTGCATGGAGAATGCCCATTTCTCAGAGAAACCTGACTGGTAAGGAGTTAGGTACACCTCTGGATGACCCAGTGACCCACAGAAAAATGGGACATCATCTTTATTGTGGTACTAGTTCCCTGGAGGAGGACTGTGCCAGGCAAAGCTGAAGAGATTCGCTGCTAAGAGCTGGAGATGAACCCTCCTTCTCTCCCTCTGATACAGTCTATGATGTATCAGATCCCTTCCACAGGTACATTCCATAACCAGTCAATAGCTGTTGAATACTGGGGTCCTATTGGCTAGAGGCCTTGACTAGCACTGGAGCCCCATTTTCTTCCTGCTTTAAGTTGGTGTAGGTGAAAACATACCTAGGCCAACCCGTTAGAGGTCTAAGTACCACTGTTTATGAGTCCTGGGGAGCCACCCCTGTGTCCTCTTCCATAGAGGCGATGCCGTAAATCCTCAGGCAGGGGAGTGCTGTGTTCACACAGAGAGCCCTGCTCTCTGCTGGGCTGTGCAAATCTAGTTGTGGTCTTTTGATATGCAGATTTGCTACATGGTGCCTATGTGTTTGTCTAGAAGGGCATGAGAAAATGCCAGCCCAAAGGAAGGTATGGGATGTGTGGTTTTTTATCTAAAGTCTTGGTGACTCTCCTGGCTTCTTGGAGGAGTCCATATCTGCTGGAGTTTCCAATAGCCCCTGTGTAATGTGTGGAGAAACCCTAAATGTCTGTGTAGCATCCATTTCCAGCCACTCTACTGCCTTAAAGAAAGGCTGTGACTGCGAAGGAAGGTCAGATGATGAAGAATGAGCCTGAGGGATGAATGTACGAGTTATGTTCAACCAGTTTTTCTGTGGACTTGAAGTTCAGGAAGCACAGTGGGGGAAATGTCCAAGGGCATGCACCCTGTATGTGTTTCCTTTGGTGTAATTCTGCTGACAGTGGGCCTTTGGGGAGAAACATTTGCCTGGAGTGGATGACCTGGATGGGTTGGGCCTACTTGCGGCTGATGCCACCTGTTAAGGGCGACCTGTGAAGGAAGGGATGAGGCCTCAGTCTCTCTCAGGCTGTGCACTTACATCTGGTTTAGTGCCGTGTAGTTGGGTGGGTCTGGGGGGGCTATCAGACAGCATCTTTGTTATTTCTGATTTACTGACTGGTGACCTTAGATGAATGGGTTTTGCCAGTGTTGAGCAGGTCTTGCAGCGGGGTGAGATTACCAAACACCAGGGTTATGTCATAGAAAAACATGAGGATAATTCAATCACAAATATCATCACATTTGGGGGCTGGCCAAACCCACAGCTTGTCCCCTTTCCCCTAAATCTTCCTGCTAAACTGGGCAGGAAGGTCCTGCCTTTGATTCAAAGGACCTTGCTCTCTGGGCATGTATTACTTGAAGGCATGTATTACTAGAGCCAAAGAAGGTACTAAGAGACTGGTTCTGTTCGAGTCAGTTTTATTATCACTGTGACCCAATGCCTGATAGAAACAACCCGCGAGGGGAGGGGTTTATTTCAGTTCGCAGTTTTAGAGAGTTCAATCCATGGTGGCCTGGCTAATCATCATGGTGGTAGAGTGTGTGGAAGAGATTCTCTACCTCATGACAGACAAACAGACAGGAAGGAAAGAGGGAGTTGGGAGGAAGAGGACAGGACAAGATACGTGCCCTGGACTCACTCCCTGTCCCCACTTCCTAAAGTTTTCTCCAACTCTCAAAATAATGCCAACTGCTGGGAGAAGAACAGTGGGCTGTGGTCTTCCAGAGCCAGCCCCAGCTTCATTTTGAGGGAGAGCGTGTTTGATGAAGAGAATTCATAGCTTCTCATGTCAGAGCTTCGGCAGCTGAGACCTTTCTCACCCTTGAGTCCTTCTAGACATAGGAAGCTCACTACTTCCTGTGGAAGTTCATTTTGGCTGCTGAGAAATCTTCCATTCTCCCCAGTGGAAATATTTCTCTGGTTCCTACTGGTTGCTTCTTGCTCACAGTGAGTACTGAGCAGGCTGACGGATTGCCGTGATCTTTTTCTTGGCATGTCTGGAATTTCTCCCAAGGAGCTCATTGGGCAAGGCCACAGGCTGTGGATGTGGGGTGAACTGCCCCAGATCAGAGGATTATAGCCATCAAGGCTGCTTGGAAGAAATGGGGGCTCCTCCCCCAGCTCAGCCCTTCGGGTAATATGTACAGCCACGGATCTCCTCCTCGTTTCTTCTCTGAGATGTATTGTGTCTTATGGGACGTCATTTGGGCTGCTTTGCCATCTGTCTCTTTCCTATCGCCTGTGGCCTTTATTTCCCCTTAAATTATCATCCCTGTATCCAAGCCCGTAACGGCAGGCCTGCTCTGGCCAGTCCTGAGAGAGGACAGTTTTGTTACTATCAGTGCTGCCATCGATTGAACTTGACCATGCATGGGACACGGTCTTAAACTTCGTGTTTCATCTTCACAGCATCCTGGTGCTGAGGAATTATTAGGCTTGTTTTACAGATGGGAAAGTCAGTGCAGAGAGGCTGGCAAAGTGGTCATAGACACAGCTAACCAGTAAATGGTGAAACCAGGTCAAAACCCTGGCTTCTAAATCTAACTCTGCAAGTGTATTTACCCATATGGGCCTATGCAGAGGCCAGAGGTCAACAGAGAGTCTTTTCATCTATCACTACCCCCTATTGTTTGAAGCAGTGTCTTTCACTGAGTAGGCTAGACTGGCTGACCAGTGAGCCCCAAGGAATCCTCCTTTCTCTGCCTTATCCCTGTCAGTGCTAGGGCCCAATGTGTGCTTGGCCACACCTATTTTTCTAGGATTTATTATTATTATTATTATTAATACAGTGTTCTATTTGTATGTCTGCCTTCAGGCCAAAACAGGGCATCAGATCTCATTATAGATGGTTATGAGCCACCATGTGGTTGCTGGAAATTGAATTCAGGGCCTCTCAATAACAGCCAGTGCTCTTAACCTCTGAGTCATCTCTCCAGTCCCCGTCCCGCATCCAATCCTTTTTAATGCGGATGCTGGGACTTAAAACTCAGATTCTCATGCTTGCATAGCAAACTATTTCCCAGTCATAAACCTGAACTCTTAACAATTAGAGTCTTCCTTTTGGGCATTCTATCCCTGTTAATATAGCCTTGGGTTGAAATAAGTTTTTCTTTTTTAGCTTATGTGTATGTGGATGTGGGGAGTTGTGTGTAGGTGACTACAGATCTTGACAGAGCCCAGGGGCACTGAGTCTTCTGGAACTGGAGTTACAGGCAGTTGGGAGCTGCACAAGGTGGGTGCTGGGACCTGAGCTCAGGTCCTCGGGAAGGACAGCGAATGCTCAGAACCAATGAGCTGTCGTTCTAGCCCCTGAAATTCATTTTCAATGTGAGGACATAGCTGATCTCAGGAGAAGGAAGAATGTGTTCATAAGCTTTGACTCAGAGACACCATTGTAGGGAGAAGAATCAGTCAGGAAACACAATTTACAATCAGATGTGATCTAACACTCAAGCCTGCTTGTGTTGCTGGACATCCACCCGCCTGCTATGCAGGGCCTGGGGAGACATACCCCTCCAGCTATAGTATGCGTCCCTAGAGATCTCAGGTTGGGTCTGTATATGGGATGGAAAAGTTTCAGATTGGCTTCATTGGGAAACAGCAGGCTTCCTTGGTTTGGATGTCTCCCCGTTGATTTTGAAGTTATACATCTTCACATTAAAAAGGAGAGGTTTACCGAGAGCAGAGACTCCAGGTCGCAGCCCAGGCTCACCTCTCTCAGCCTTTGGCTCGAGGAGCCCTGGCATTTTTCTGACATTTGCATGCAGCGCTGGACCTGGATCCCACATGTGTGCTAGCCAGAAACTCACTCCTTTAATTCAACCCTAAGTTGTACGCTCATTTCTTTGTCAATAGCATTAATCTCCTTTAAATTTTTAATGGCCGTCTAGACTTCCATTCTGTGGTTTACTGTATGTCTTTCACCAGACCTGGCTGGTGAACATTTAGGTTGTTTCTGATCATTCCCTGCCACTGAATTCTTTGGGCCTGTTCGTCGTAGAACTTTAGATTTTTCAGTTTAGGAAGTACAAGATGGGTCTGGGCTGGGACTCAGTAGGCAGAGTGCTTGCCTGGCACCTGCTACTGTGTGTTCCTCCCCAGCACTGTGTGACCTGGGCTCCTGGTAAAAGGCTGTGACCCCAGCACGTCAGAGGTAGAGACAGGAGGTTCTAGGGTTCAGTGTCATCCTTGGCTGCATCGTGGGTTTGAAGCCAGCCTGGGACACATGAGACTGTTTCAAAAAGAAAATCAGTAACAACAAAAATCCCTTTGGATTTGCTATTGGCTGGCCCTTTAGCACCCATAGCTACAGAGGACTGGAAATACCAAAGCCAACATATGCCTTAAGACCCCTTTGTTCTGTAGTTGATGAAAACTCCAGAATGCCAAGCATGGGCAGAGGAACCTGACCACCGTGTGGAGGAATGCTGCGCTGAGCCCAAACCCAACTCTCTGGCCTCCGGTGCCCAGTGTGTACTATGTACTCTTT